TTTCTATTTTTTCGATCAAAAATAATGATTATTCTACGATTTTTATTTTCCGCTCAAAGATAATAATTATTATTGATCTTATTTTTTCACTAATCAATAATGATCATTCAAAAAAATGCAAAAGTTATACCAGCGAGATCTCCGTGGTATCCTTTTCAAAGGTAACGACACCCTAATAAAAGGAATAAGTCCCAAAATTTTCAGGTCCAAATTTCATTAAGATGCGTCTTCCACAGACTGAATTCTATATGTGTTTTGTAAGCGTGCAACGGTGACATTACTGCCTCAATGCAGCCCAATTTGTCGTTGGCAGAAGTAACGTACATATTATGCAGGTGACTATTATTTTGAATATGCATAAGATTTGCATGTATTTCACTAAAATTTGCTATATTAACGCCAAGCACCGCAATCGTATACTTAAAATCGCTATTGTAGCAGCGTGGTTTCCTAATAGTGCATAGCATGCCATTTGTTATACGCGAAATGGGACGACTTTCTATAAGCTCTCCTAGTTTTGTTTCCACAATTACTTCGTAGTAGTCAACGCGTCCCGAAGGCACTAAGGTTGTCGCCAATAAATTGTGATATCCTTCGAATCATCGAATTTTGTATGAGATAGACGCGAAGGAACTAAAATGAGATAAGTTTAGTAAGTCGCTGAATGTTGTGAACACTATTTTAACATACCGCCGATTAAAGTTTGTATGTGCACACAATTGCTAGTTAGTGAATGATCCACAGCAGTGTTGCCGCGAAACATTTTTAGCGGTAGCTAAATTCAGGCTAAAAAAGAGCTAAAAATCGTCGTTGTGGCTAAAAATGGTAGCTAAATTTTTCTACCTACATATAAATATATAAGTATACACGCAAACATTTTCTATAAGTAAGGATATAGAAAAACAATGAACTCTGGAAAGAATTAATATTTTATTCAACAAAAAAACTTGTTGCGTAACACATAAAGCATATTAAGGGCCGCCAACTTACCTATTTTAAAGTATAGTTAAATCGTTAATGGATAAGATAACGGCACAAAAACGTAAAAAACATACATATACATAGGTTATTGATTAATTAATTTCTTACATAAACAAAAAAATGAGATCACATTAAGAATACATAAGTACTAGAATCATATCTACATACAGTGTCGGACAATACTAAATAACTTAAATAATTTCAAACTATGCTTCGAAAAATATCCATTTGTAAAAGAAATTTTTAAAATGTTATGTTATAATTTACAAAGAATTAAAATGTCGGTGCTTTATTATTGTCCGACGCTGTATGTATCAAACAAACAAAAGAGTATTCATTTAATGAACTCATAGTAAAATAATTTAATCTATAAACATTTTTTTTAACACATTAAATATCTATATCTATATCAATACTATCATCGCTAAGCGATTCTTCGTCGTTACAATTTTGTTCATTTCTCATTAACCTGACGATATCATCTGTAATTTCAAAATCATGACAACATTTCTGTACATTTTTTAAGCCATATCTTACAGTTAATAAAGCGTTTAACATTGCAAAATTCATTTTATTTCTGTGCTTATTTTTAACGAAATTTATTATAGAAAACGTCCTTTCAACTTCTGCGTTACTTAAAGGTAAAAGAAGCAACCGATAAACAAACTTTTTCCACCACTTAAGCTAGCGACACAATGAACAGTTTATTTGCCTTAAAGGAAAAGCGTTCGCTTTATAAGCGAAGAGTTAAATTCATGAAAATCATATAAAAAATTTTAATGTCAATGATGAATAAATTTTGAAAAGGGCTAAAAAAGGGCTAGGGGCAATTTCAAATTTTTGTAGCCAAAAAAAGAATTTGGTAGCCAAATTTAGCCACCAGAGGGCTAAAACGGCAACACTGATCCACAGTATACCCTTTCATACAAATGGTGTAATTTACCAAATGGTGTAGTTTACCAAAGTGTAGAATATATGTTGATTGCGACCGCTTTTTCTGCTCCCGGTCAAGTAATGCGAACCAACTGTATTATTACAAAACAAAATATGACTTTCGCTGTTGTTACTAGTAACTAAGAGAAGTAAAAATATAAAAAATCCAATAATGAATTAAGGCACTCTACATATCGCACATAATCTTCAAATGTGACACAACTCCATGCGAAAAAATATTCCGTAGCACATACTTATCATATGGACAAAGGAGACTTTATCTTAGGTTTTTTCAACAAATTATAACAAAAATTTTATCCAAAAATTTTGAGTCACTTTTGAAGATCATGTGCTATACGTGTATGTAGATATATTTAGTTATATACGTTACGTTATATACGTTTTATACGTTATACGCAGTACGGCTCCGTTTTTGGGTTAAGGCCCAAAATTATTTCAATCAGGTTGGTAAATGTATCCTCTATCGGAAACTCATTTGGTGTGTTGGCCGGGTGTTAAAGTCCAGTAAATTGCTAAAAAATAAAAAAATATAAATTGTATTTACTGATTTAATAGTGTGAAGTAAAGTAAGGAAAATAATGCAAAAATAAAGAAGTAAATGCAAAATAATAAAAAGTAACTAAATGCATAATAATAAAAAGTAATTAAATGCAAAATATATTTACAGTTTTCTTACTATGCTCAGAGGTTGATTTTCAGGAACTTCTTGTAACCCATTACCCTCTGTTTTGCCTTTCGGATCTTTAAGCGCCTATTTAAGTTACGAACATGGAAATGAATGCGGCACTTGAAAAATAGCCGCTTCGCGCTTTCGGGGAGTTCAACTTCTGTGCTTTTTTCCATCAACCGCCGGTGAATGTTTTGGCAATGGGATATTTCCAAAGCATTAAGATTATGGAAAATACGCTCAAATGCTTTCACGCCACTCAAAAATTGCGATGACGGTTTCTTGAGATACCCCTTCGACACTTGGTCCACCCAGGTGAACGAGCTTTCAGAGCTTGTGTGCTCCTCCAGACGAAGCTTTCTTAGCATATAGCCCGAAATGTACTCTAAAGCATCCTCTTCGAGAAACCCGCAGTCATCGGGTTGAGAGGTATCAAGCGCGTCAATAACTTCCGACTCCATTTCCCACTCTTCTGCAAATATACGCCTAAGCTCATCGGTACTTATGCCATTTCTGTCAGCTGAGTTCGACTGCGTCGGTGTTTCGCTAAAACTTAGCCATTGACTTTTGTCGTTTGACACGTTCCCTCTCCCTTGGAGGCACTCCGTGTTGCGCGCTAAAATAAGATAAGGATAAGAAAAACATATCATATTTGAAGTAACTGATATAACAGTTATACCTAAAATATACTTCCGCATCCTATATTTAAATTCCTGGGGACTTGGGTGGTCATTCAGGCCCCTTTGCTGCGGATGGCACCAAAAAAGTGCTCCAGGACATCCTGATTCAGGTTTTGGGTTAGTATATATTCCACATTTGATTTAGTTTTAACACTGTTATACAACTCAACTAAAGCTTTGTTAGTCATAAGTATTCCCTTCTGAAATACCTCCAACCCCCTCTTGTTTGGTATTATAGGCGAAGACATATATTCGTTCATACGCTCTAACACTACTAATTGGCTTGAAAGGGCCGTTCCAAATGGTTCCTTAAGTTTCAAAGCGAAATCAAAAGAGTTAAAATTTAAGCTTATAACAAATACCTTTCCCGGGTAACCGAATGTACCCATGTCCGAGTTTAACACGTCGAACTAGTCGTTGACGAGCTGAATAAAGTCAGCTGTCTCAACAGGTTTGTATAACTCCAACTCTAACGTATAGCAACGTCTAATAGCATTGGCAATTGTGTGAGAAAACAACTGCGATGCTAATTTTACTTTCTGACGCCCTTTAATTTATTTCAAGTTATAAGTGTTAAAGATGTCTAGAGTATTTACTTACCTATTCCCTTAACTGATAAGTGCTCATCAGTTAACCTAAATGCAATAGATACATCTGTTTTTGAGGTGTATTTAAGGAGATCAACAAGCGTCCTGCTTCTTAGTACCTCCCCTTTCCACAACAAACCTGATTCCAGAAAATGATTTCTTATCAATTTCAACAGGTGCGGTGCATCAGCGAACACGAAAACTCGTTCATTTTCTTCGTTAGGGTGAGCGAACCACGGCTTATCTGTAAAGATTATAAATTGTTGAATATTGTTTAACTCACAAAGATTCAGACAACATAACCGAAGTAAAGCAAATGGTGATCTTACCCATTGTCACGTCTAATTGTTTCCAAAGCTTTCGATTTGTAGGGCCCATATCGCAGACGACGGCCACCACTGGGAAACTTGCGGTTTTCAGTGCCAAAATTATCCTAAATAAGATTTCTTTGGTCATTTGACAATCGAAATCATAGAAAACCGGTTGCTTCCAAGATTTCCGTAAGCCACGCGCCGTTACTACTTGCACGTAATTTGCAGGTCTTCGGACATAGTCTCCTGCCTGATCATATTCGTATGACTCAACGACTTTCATCTCGTCGAATACAAGAACACATAATTTTTCATCATTAGAAAGATCAGACCTGTGTTGCTTACAATCAATTGATACAGACAGGATACCCTCGCTTATATCGCTCTTACGATACCAGCGCTGCAGTGTAGACACGTGGGGAAGCGGATATCCTTTGCTATACAAGTGGTTGTATGCCCGTGGTCCCGCAGCGTGCAGACATATTGCGTCAGAAATGTCTTTATGTGACCATTTCGCGTGTCCATCTATAAGAAATGTATACCTACTTGTGACACTTGATTTCGTACATTAAAAAAGCAGAACTTACTGGTGAGGACCATCTTCCAAATTTGTCCCGGAGAGAATATATTTTTCATTCGATTAACGACAGCATTCGCTTCTTCCAGCTGGGCATTTCACTTTAAATGTTCCGCCTTCAATTTCTTCAGCTCTGCTCTTAAATCAGAATTTTCAGTCTTTTGAAGATACTCCAAAACTATAAAGCTGCATACTCGAAAATTATAAAAAGAAAATCAGATCACACTGTCTGTGGTAATGTACTTACTCCGTTTGTGTTCCGCAGTCTCTAACCTGCGCCTTAGTTGGTTCCGGCAAAGAAAACGACGAACTATTGTGTATAAATTAGTAACACATTTTCATGTTATTGCGTTTAAGTATACTTATTTGACTAAATTCAAATGAGAGCACTGCGGTAGTTGTACGTCTGGGAATCGCGTGAAGCAAGATCTATACATACATATGTATTTTAAAGATATTTTTCTTTATTCAAATCAAATCTATTCACATTACCCTTCTTGTGTGTAAACTCCAGAATCAGGTATGAAAATGGAGCGTGAAAATTGCTCAGGTACACTAGCGTTTGCGGTAGGGATATCAACATCCATGCTGAATTAAAAATTAGCATTTGAAGATTTTGGACACCAATAATTTTATGACTCACCTAAATTTACGTGTATCAGGGATACCGACGTAGATAGAAGTATACGGCAATAGTGAAATTGTATTACCGAATACATTATTCACGCGTGATGTATGCTGGGATACATCTGTAGCCTGTATATTGGAAACACCGATTTCCGTGCTGAATTAAAAACACAATTTTAAGTTTTTGGCCACCAATCTTTGCACAACTTACCCAAAGTTACGTTTATTATTTATTAAACAATTGGAGCTAGAAGATTGTGACGATGGTGCGAATGGAATAGCTTTCGCCAGCAATCTGGCTTGTGTACCACCGCATATCATATCCGCGCGCGAGAAGTGATCGGAACAAACGTAATCTCTAGCTCCAAGATGCGTTCGGCATGAGTTAGACCACACGAGCCGCTCCAAATCGTTGATTGGAACCATGAAAAAATTTCCTGCTCCGCTCTTTTTTTTTTTAAACAAACCGCGCACTTTCTCATTTTTATAATGTTTTTTCACGTTTTGTCTGTAAATGTCCACAAATTTTCGTTAAGAAATATAATTTTCATAAAATTTTCCTCTTTTTACACAATTGCCACTTTTACAATAAGATTTAAACGTAAACAAAACGTTTTGCCATTTCGTCTTGGCTGACATTCTTCTGTACTAGTGTAGATACAAAAATATCCAATCAGCTGATCAATTAACACCACCTTGTATAGATTCGCCTTGATTGAAGCCATTCACGGAAGTAGTGGTGTGTTTATCGATATCGACATACCACATAATTCGATACTTCGCAGGGTTCCTTTGACCGACATTACGCGGAGGTTACACTTCCAGTTTTTCGCATCAAGTATGCGCAAACTTTGCGCAGACTATTAATTGGGTGTGAATATAAACTTTAGGTAATATTAGACATATTTTTAAACATATAAGTGGTGAGAAAACAAACAAAGTGCTACACACGGTTAAGTGTTTATATTGAAAGATTTCTTGATAGTTCGTCAGTACAATCAAAGGAGAGAGTAAATATGATTACGGAATAATATCTGAAGACTGTCTTGAAAAATATTACTAAATTTTCGTATTTCACGTCAAAAAAAAAACAAAAAGATGTGAATCTTGCTCCTTGAAATGTACGGAAAATTGTTCTAAACCTTACAAAAACAGAATTTCTCTGTATATAATCCTCTCAGGTGACAGTACGCGAGTTTATTGTTGCCATCAGCCATATTGCCTCCCTACACCCGACTGTAACGTAATGCAAAGGCTTCATACAACCCTGGGTATCATGGGCAACTAATGATAAAGGGACCTACACACACTCGATATATTCATCACTCATTAAGGGGAGTCACTACTAGTGCATTTTTCTTAAATGATTGTAAATAATTACATATTGGCAATGGAAATTCAACTTTGTGATTGGGATATGCGTATGTATTGGTCGCCACTCTACAATTTCGTTTCCTCTACAAGTTTTAATTTGAATGGGGAAACTCATATTACAGAAAAATGACCCGTTTTACATTAATGCGCAAACGAGCTGAAACTTCTCGAGGCTATCCTCTTACATGCCGACTATGCGGCATGAAGCACCCCCTGCGGCTTTGCCCCATCTTCCGGACAAAGGCCCCCGAATATCGCCTACGCGAAGTTCTCATTCATCAGTACTGCACTAATTGTTTGCCGGGAACCCACCGCGCAGCACACTGCACGAATGAGGGGAATTGCCGGCGGTGCAGAGAGCAACATCATACGTTGCCACACATTACGTCACACGCCGAGAAATCACGTCCCAATCGTCGTCCACAGAGAAGAGTTATTATTGAAGATGAAGACAGCGATGCGATCTCTTTGATAGCGTCAGAGGCCGGAGCGGAAACCAGTGCTTTCCGCCCAGACCTGGCGGAGGGAGAAGTGCTCCAAGCTGGAGCGGAAACTAGTGCTTTCCGCCCAGAGGAAGCGGCCAGAAGGGGGTCCATCGAACTCCATCTGGATTCGACTAACGAGCGAGAATTGGAGACCCTGAATTGCGGACAGCTCCAGATATATGAGCGACGGGAGCTAAGCGGATTGGAAACGAGAGCTTTCCAACCGCGAGACAATAGATCGCATCACCAAACTCGACGTCGGAGTAAGCGCCCACGGCATCAGCGTCAGAACGGGAGAGTGGAATCCTACGCATTCCACCTCCCTGCAAGAAGCGGATTTCGTTCTGGGCCAGTAGAGGCGCCAATGAATCCAGTCCGACAGCTTACTGCAGTTGCGCCGACAGCTATAGTAAGAATAGAAGCTGGAGGACGTTTACATATGGTAAGAGCCTTAATAAATGCATGCGCCACAACCTCTATAATAGCAGAGGAGTTAGCGCGAGACCTAAAGCTCACTCTAGAGACCATGAACAATCAGCGAGGATGTTTCATCAAGATGCGGGGAAAATACTGAAATTCCGCCACCTTGACGGTACACGCGGTAGCCGTTCACAATTACCGTCAAAGAACCCCGCTAACAAGCCTCGATGCCACGACTGCCGCTCCATACAACAACTTAAGATTGGCGGATCCCCGGTTTAACATCGCAGCACCAGTTCAGTTAATCCTCGGTGCTGAGGTATTCCCAAAAATTTTACTGGGCGCCATTCCTGCTGGGACTCTGGGCCCATTACTAGCGCAAAAAACCATATTTGGATGGGTACTATCTGGTGCTTGCTAACTTTTCTTTTGCATTTATATTCTGCATTGCACATTGGATAATCTTGAAATTTTGAATTTAATATATGAAATATACTCAAGTGCCTGTGAATTTTAAACCACGCTTTTTATTGTGAATTTTTCCTTTTCCATTT